GACCATAAAACGTCAGCGATCTCATTGGTCTAATATCAGTCAATCGGAGAGATCTTGATACCTCCTCACAGAGAGCATCGACGAGCCCTGCATGAGCTCCGTGGAAATGCTTGACCAGACGGTGTAACGCCGTTGTGAGCAGCTGCATCCGGCGAGACGCATCTATCGCGGAATTAGGGACGGCCGCTTGTTGGCAGATGGTCAGGACATCTGAGGGAAGGACCAATAAAGAAGGGGTTGGGTGAACAGCAGACACGCCTCACCGTCCTTCTGTTGTCGTCGACTAGCGTCCAATAGGGTCTTCCGCAGCTTGAAAGGATCATACGGGAGGCATTGCCGAACCGCTACGAGTGCTCGAACCGAACTTAGGGCATGTCGCCATCGACCAACTGCCCAGGGAGTTGAAGCCATTAAAACTGCAACAACTTTGTCATGCTTTCATATGTCCTGCATTCCGAGGTGGATAATATTCCCACTTCACGCAAAAGGCGAGGTCATGATTGCGAAACGATGTGAATCAGAAACGTAGGGATGCAGCATCTAAGCCATCACATGTCTTAATTGCTCCCGTAAGTACTCGCCACGTCGATGCCGTTGTGTGTTGTTCCAATCAACTGTGCTGATACTGAGCACCTCATAGCCCGCCTTACGCAGTATACGCCTGCTCAGCTCAGTGTTGCCGTTGTACTGCAGTTCAGCGAGACTATTGTCACTAATCAACTTCGAGAAGTGGGAGTAGCCGTCGACCTCGATAATAAGCAACACTTGTTCCTTAGCATCTATGACAGCAAGATCAACAAAGATCCCTTCGAGAGGTGCAGGAAGCTCATATTCATCGCGGAGACTAGCCGTTGGGGCCACCTCAAGCAAGACCCTTTGCAGCTCGGAGCGTATCTCCCATTGCAAGGTGCTGCTAGTAACAAGGCCGCCACCAGGCGCCCTTTGCCGTTGCGCGATCTTCACTAAGTGAGCTTCCTCAGAGGGTGATGGTTGGAAGCCGTGACAGAGCCTTGCCCACAGCAGAGACCGATGGAGCCTAATGAGAGAGGCCCCTTGCTCTGTACGTGGGGGCGCATTGCTCATTGGTCCTGCCTTCACCAATGCCTCAAGGAGCTTCTGTAGAGCCTTTTCGCTGTACAGGTCGAACACGGCCATGGACCAAATGACTATGGTAACATCAGCTGGCCGAGGACTCAACGTACTGCTCTCAACGCGGTGTATAACGTCCTGAATTAGATCGATGGCAGAGGGTGATCGATGTGCATTAGATGTGATACCCCAGAGGACCATCGCCAGATGACGGCTGTCGATCCGACCCTCCTTCAACATGCCTCTTGCCAATACACAACATCTCTCCTCCAACTCGTAATGGGATAATCGTAGTGTACCCAAAGCCCACACCAATAGGCCAACGTCCTGCTGTTGGTACTGATGATGCTCCCGAGAGCGGTAGCGGTCGACGAGGCCATTGACAAACGCCACGACACTAGGTGGCGGCTCTCGCAGGGCAGAGGACTCGAACATCTTAGCAGCTGCCCATAGTATGCGGCTCTCACTCTGAGGTGTGAGGGCATCGCCATTGGTCACGGCCCATTCAACAATGGGGAGCACGGCCTCTTGACCAGAGGACCACAAGGCATTCGATATCTGGGAAACCGCCAGGACATTCTGAGCTGTCGGTCGCCAAGTCGTAATAGTATCAATGACCACTTCAATGGTCAGCTTCGTGAAGTCTTCGAACAAGTCCAGAAGCTTGGCATCTGCCAAAGAGCTCACGACCGTGGCCAGCTCTAGAGGCTTCCACTCCTCGACAACGCCCTTCTCAATAAGGCCATGGTCATTCTGTAGCAGAAAGCGGAAGACCTGTTGAACCCATGGGCCACCATCGTTAGACAGAGTAACTGCCCAAGCGATACTTGAAATGACCGCGCCTGTGAATGGTCCCAAGTCGGACAGCACTAGTAGCTCTCCAAGATGACGGATGAATATTAGAGGGGGATGGGACTCGCATTTGTTGTACTGGGCGATAGTTCCGGCCGCCCAGAAGGCATTGCCTACGCTCTTCAAGGGACACTGCTGGATAGTAGAAGTGTCATCGAACTTGCTGATGTACACCTTCCACATACTAGGGTCTAGAGTCGCCGTTGGGACATGGCCGAAGGCCCAGAGGACCGATGCCAGCTCCGTTGGGTTGAAGCTCTCGAAAGTCAACTCTGATGAGCACGTACTGAAGAGACGCACCACATCGGGATGGTCCCTCGCGGAAGCCCCGAGTGAAGTGAGTACCACTGCATGGGCCTCGGGACTGATACCAGATCGGCCGACCCGGCCCTTCCAGTCTACCGCCACCAAACCAGCGAAATGTGGGTTGCAGGCACCCATACGGCTGACGGCCCAGACGAAGGTCGCCAGCTCATCTGACCCAACTGAGACCAGACCCACCCGATCCACAATGGTCTTTACAGCCAACTCTATCTCGGTGATCCAAGATATGGACAGCCGATTGATGGTCCATGCTACATGTCGTAGTTGTAGGGCACCCATGTGCGGTATTGCTAGGAGTAGATGTGGTCGTAGTAGATCTCTTAACCGGACCACTGGGCTTGGAGGGGACCTGCCGACCACACCGATGGCCCTGAAGACCTCTGCGGTGTGCTTCGGGGACATGGTGGAGGAATCTGTTGGTTCGGCGCCCGCTAGTCGCTGGGCCATGGCTTCACTCAAGGTAGTGAGAAGAGGCAGGTAGCGTGGGTCGTTCTGGACTTTGACGCATTTGATGAGTGCCGTGGCCAGTAGACTGAGCTCGAGTCGGACAGGGGAGCCACCAGGGCCGTTGAGGATGTCCACTATAGCGGAGCAAGCTTCGAGCCAACTTCCTGAGGCAAGAGGAGATAAAGTGAGAAAGGAGTGGTATGGTCTTCACCCCGATTGTTGGAGTTCAAGAGCTTCCGAAGATTTTTGACTTGCCGACCGACCACTTCGTTGGATGCGACGCAACTGAGTAGACGGCTGACATTCATACCAAAACTTCGATACTTCACGATCTAGACTTGGCTATAATAGAATATCATTGACCCCGATTTGACGAGAACGACGTCTTAATTCAGAAACTTATCCCGGAAACAGCTCAGCCGAGCCGCTGAGGACCTCCGACACTTCATGCTGTATGAACTCGTATTTTGCCGATCGGTCCAGACTACGCCATCTCTCGTCCTCAACGCTGAGCAGCCTGAAACCAGCTTGAGCAATGAGGTGTTGTTTCAGAACACTCTGGCCGTTGTACTGTCGTCTGGTCACAGCCGATTCACCAAGACATCAACGTAGTGATGCGGTCCGTCTACT